CACACTCAAAGATTTGGGGGGGGGAGGGGGAATATGGGATACACGTAGGCCACACGCAACTCATGAACTAGCTGTGGGCTATGATGTTAGGACAATCCCGACACAACAACACAGCCAAATCACAAGAAAATAGGGTATAGGGAAGGTGTGTGTATGCAGACCTTACCTTAAAAGTAGACAAACTGTTTCCAAGAGACCTCTCCAACTCGTGCAATCCAAAATAAACAATGTACCTATAAAATGGTACGCATGAGTAAATGTAATGAGCCTTGTATGGTGTTCAAGCTAGACTCATAGAAGGCGTTAGTCGGGTAGTGGAAGGCCGTTTAGCGCCTAGGTCCTCTTTACGACGCGTAGGCATTGTTTAGTTAGACACCTAGGCACTACCTAAAAATAGGCAAATTATATACTCCCTCCGTCCAAAATTTATCTTTTTTACTATGTTTGGCACAAACTTTAAGAAAAGTGAAATTGGTTGGTTGAAAGTGATGCAGAGGAGAGAAAGATGGTGAAGCAGGAAGATTAACTTGGACGGTGGGACTGAGGGAGTAATTTTTTTACGATTTTTGAAATTTTATAAAATATAATAAAAAGCCATCTTATATTGAGTATAAATTTTATAGTATATTCGATGTATAACAAAATCTTTTACTGCATTATATAAGCAAGTGCATTCCAATTAATGTGTGTGTGATCATAAAATAAAATGTTGTGCATCAAATGATTTACAGATTAGTGAGGTATCATTCTAAAAATACAAAGATAACATAAATAATACTCCCTCCGTCCTGGAGTATTCGTCCAGTTTTGACTTTTGGAACTGTTCATCTAAGCACAACACTTTGACTTATCAAATTCTCTCAATGTGTAAGCCTAAATATAGTCATTTGTGATCTTGTTTGATTTGTCTTAACATATAGATTATTAATATATAATTTTTATAATTTTTTAATATACAAATTACAAGATAAAATGGATTAAAGAAGTGTATTGGATGGTGTGTAAAAACGAAAGTGGACAAATACTCTGGGCCGGAGGTAGTACCACATTTATGTAATACTCTCTGTCCCATATCTTTCTTTCCATTTGACTTTTCACGTCTTCGATGCCAACACTCTAACCGTTAATACCTCTATTTATATATACATGTATATTACGGAGTATAAAATATGATATTTCAAATCTATGTTTCGAAATGAATATATTGGTATTAAGTTCATATCATATTTTAATGTATTTTTTTCGTAATATGTGGTCAAAGTTTAATAATGTTGACCAAAAAGTCAAAATTGGAAGAAAGATATGAGATGGGGAGATAATATGTCCATTATTGACTAATATTTTCTAATATAGAGAAAATGTTTAACTAAAAAAACATGAATATACCAAAAAAGTTCTTTTGAAATTATAATGAGAGTCGCTTTGCCCCACCTAGGTCCGCCTGGGCACCTAGACTAAATTTTGAGCTGTCTGGGCTGAAATCAGGGTGGTTAGGCACTGCCGCACTACCTAAGCGGCTGCCTAGCCCACCTTTTTGATAGTGCTCCGAGCCTACGCATATCCAAGCTGAGGCCTTGATGACCGGGTCAGCTGAGCTGACCTCACCAGAACAAGTTGTTTCCACGTGCCAGTGTCTAGTAGTCCGATGTTGGAATCACAATGCTCAACACCATGGTCAAAGCTCATACATAACAGGCTCGACCGTCGGGTCCAAGTAATTAATTACTTTGTATGATGCTTTGGGCAACGAATACATAGGAAACAAATTCTTCATTTTTACAAGGGTAAGGTTGTGTACATTTTGACCTATACCCCAACGGAGTTGAGATTATACTGAGGTTGCTATTGTTGTTGCAGGGCAGCAGGGGTAGAAACCATTATTTAAAGCCTGATGGTAATCACACGTGTCCAATAACGTGGAGCCATAATATTATTTTATAAAAAAGAAATGACGTGAAAAAACCACTTAAGTTGTTGTAAGAAAGATACTAGCATAAATTACAGACATTAATTACAAAAAATTAGTTTGCAGTTACAACAAACCCTTTATTTGCTGGGTGTAAAATTTTTATTAAACCTACATTTATTCTTTAGTGTAAGAAACCTTTGCCCGTCCAACAGCAATCATGTTTCATGGTAAACACCATAAAAAGCTGATGTAATGAAACTGACCTGCTTATAGTGTAACAGTTTCAGATTATGGTAAAGATAAGGAATTGAATTATTAATACTAATACATAATAAGAAAACTAATTGCATTTTTGGGGTTTTAATAAACATTTAGGGGCTGTTTGTTTCAGCCTCTTAATGGTTCAGATGTCTGAATGATTCAGCACTTAATGGTTCAGACTGTTTGTTTCAGCCTCTTAATGGTTCAGATGTCTGAATGGTTAAGAGATTTGCCTCTGAATGGTTAAGTATTATACAGAGTCTGAATGGTTAAGAGCTCTTATCTGAATTGATCAGACATTTGCCTCTGAATAGTTAAACAATATACTAGCTCTTAATGGTTCAGACCTTTTACTGGTTCAGCACTTAATGGTTCAGACCTCTTACTGGTTCAACACTTACCCATTCAGAAGTTACCAAACAGCCCCTTAATCATTTAGATAAAAAGTACATTTGGAACAACAACAACAACATTACCCTAGTGCCTCAAAGGCTCCTTCCCATTGCGGGGTAACGGGGGTGAGATCCCTATGTTTAAAACATAGAGCTGCCGTTTCCAGATGACCTATGGTTGCATTGACTTACTGCT